AATGTTTTCTGTACATTACTAAAGTGGCGACAAGGATAATTTGTTGAAAACAAAATAAGGGCTTCTTTAGTTGGTGATCATTTCATATATTCTTGTGAGCTCCACGTTTGACTCCTGAGGGTCAGTGGGTTAAAAAAATGATGACAGCTTACTACCAATTACAGAGAAGCAGATGGAAAAGCGTAGGAACTACGAATTGGTGTTTCAAAGTAAGGAAATTAAGCATGTTGAACAACTTTAAGATTACGGATGGATCACAGAAAATTATTATTAACGTGAGTACTTTGAGCTGATCCCTATAAAACTATATATCACTTTAAAGCTTATAGACTACAGAATTCGATAATTTTCTTTTTTTATCACAATTATCACAAAGATCACAATTGAGGAGATAGAGAAAACTACTCATGTGTCTTCAATACATTTGTACGTGCTTGTATTTTATTGTTTCGGCAAACAATGTTTGGGAAGTGAATCAGCAATTATTGTGCTAAAAAAAACCGTATGGCTGATTGTTGATTGAAGTCTACTTCAAGAGTTATGAGCTTTTCAAGTTTGAGTGGGCAATTTTCATAGCTGGCCTTTACACTCTTCATCATATCTCAAAAAATGTTTCAAAAATCAACATTCGGCCATACGGTTTTTTTCTTCAACTTTTGATACTACTCAGTGCCAACTTAATTGTGTAACACACGGGGATCCATTTTCAAGTTTTGACTGACTAGAAAAAGAAAAAACTCAATATTTGATATATTTTCATTCACTTTGAAGACAAAATAAAGCGATTGAGTGAAGTGATTTTTTTTAAATGTTTTATTTTTAGAACAATTATAAAAATAATTTAAGTCAATTGTCTGAGCACGGAATATTGCATGTTTGCTTTAACTGAAGTATCATTACGTAATAAGACAAAGGATTAACAGTGAGAAAGACTTCCTCCTCAAAATCTGTGAAAACAAGGCTAAGGATGTCAATCAATCCTCCTTTTGTGCTGCTCTTGAATCTTCTTTTATTCAACCAAAACTCGCCGTTTTTTATTCTCGCTTACCCACTTGATAATTGTATTTACGTTTCGTGACTGGGTTCTCGAGTGTCTTGTGACTGAAAACTGTCTGTATGGTTGCTTTCAGTAGATTTATTTAGAAACTCGGAAATTTTGTTGCTCAAAGATCGCATAACTGGCGTATGGTACATTGCTGGACTGCAGGTAAGTTTTTTACGCCGCATTCACACGAGCAAAGTATGTTTAGAGAATGAAATTTGTCAATGGAAACCAAAAAAACAAAAACAAAAAAACGATTTTAATAAGGGTTTTCAAGTAATCACTAGATTATAATTTTCATTTTGCTAAATTTTTACATCAGAGCCAGCCGGATGAACTTCTTTGAGAAGGAGAAACAAAACAAAAAACAGTTTTAAATCGTGTTTCGTCAAAAAAACTGTAAAACATGTTTTAGCTTTGGTGTGAACAGGGTATTAGTCAAAAATTCGTCTAAGCGAGCTTCTTTTAGAGAGATAAATCTCACTAACGTTTTCGTTCCGGCATTGAATATATATTTATATATATATGTGTGTGTGTTGGTGAGAGGAAAAATTGTATGATGTTTACTTTTGTAGGATGTATAAATTTTTTTCCGTAAGCAAACTTAATGTAACAAAGTTTCTAGTCGGAAAAAACATTTTAACGTTTTTGATCATTTAATTGGAATTTTATTCTTTTTTTCTTGTCGTGATTGATCAGTCTTTGAATGCTAAACTTTTAAAAATACGGAAAACAAATGCACTCACTTTTTTTGTTCTTAAAATAAAATTTTGGAGCGAATTTCCTCAACTTTATTTTACTTGAACTGTTTTATCATATGTGAAATAGGAGATCCGCAAGGTATCACAGTCTATCGCCGTTCAAAACAAAGCGAGTGGCTTCGATGTTCTAAACAAGGTTTGCGTCTAAACAACGGTTACAGATGAATTCAACTTGGAACAATTCCTCTCTGGAAGCAACGTCCGAAGCCTCTTCCTTGAGCAGTAGTGTTGGAAACATAAGCCCCATTCAGCAAGCTGTTTACTCTGTTGTTTCCACGTTTGCATTTTTTGGAAACACACTTGTTATTCTAGTCTTCGTTTGGGAAAAGAAGCTGTTAAAGAAATCTTACAACATTTTGATTCTCTCGCTGGCCATCGCTGATGCGTCGATCGGTATTTGCTTGGTTACTAACCCTGCTTATATCTATGGTAATTTGTTTCCCTACCCGGAAAGCCCCGTTCTGGGAGAGATATTCTGCCGGTTTATATGGAGCCGTTTTCTTCTTTTCCACTTGGTGATGTTCTCAACATACATTTGTCTGGGTTTGTCCGCTGACCGTTGGTTTGCTGTCGTAAAACCTTTCAGTTACTGCATGACTATGACCAAGAGAATGGTTCTTAGCTACATCCTTGTATCTTGGGTGTGTTCTCTCGCTACTGTGAGTACGGCCGTTATTGAAACAGTGTACCTCCCATCTTCCAGGAGAATGTGTGAGTATCGAATCTTGGCGCCAGGCTCCACCTTTCGTGTCCTACTGGCTGTCTTTCAAATTACCATGATGACCTTCTTCCCTTGCCTCGCCATGATTGCGCTCTATATCCACATGGTTGGAATGGTTATGACATCAGCAGTGACGTCACAGGCGAGTAAGGCTAAACTTCGCGGGAAAATGACACGGATGATTGGTTTTATTTGTTTTGTTTCCACGATCTGCCTCACACCGAATCAGATAACTGCCCTTTTGGTGTTTGCAGGAAAAATGAGGCCGGACTCTGAAGAACACCACGCTGTGGCATTTCTTACTTTTGCCACTAGCTGTGTGAATCCTGTTATCTACGGACTAAGCAACAAAAACTACCGCCGGAGCTACAAGAAGATTCTGTTCCTCATGTGCCCCAGAATGCTCACCCGAAGGGAAGAGCAAGAAAACGTGATTGATATGGTCAACAGACGGCACAAGGTAGAGCCCACTCCTAACTCTGTAGATGAAAATCGGAACACTACGAAAGAAGCAAAGATAATGATTTCGAATGAACATTAAATTGAAGTCCTCATGATAATAAGGTTGAACCAGAAACACGCGGTACTTCTGCTTAGAACTCAGTTGTGTGTCATTTTAGCGTTCATGACTTTGTTCAGTCGTTTGTCTTTCTCTCATCAATAATTGTTCAAAGGGGTTGTGGTTATTGGTGTCCCTTGGTAAGAATGAAAGTTTCTTATGATTGCCATCGTTTTGTGAATTTTATTTTGTCACACACTAACAAGCCTTTGATAAGCAAAGAGACTTGTTTTTTAACTAATTGATCGTATAAGTAACCATTACGGAAATCCAGAGCTAAAAAACCACTCTTACTTGCTTTTTCTCTGTGAAAATGTATTGGTTTGACTAGCAACTCAAAGCTTCTACTCTAATCTTTTCTTGGTTTAAGTGGCGATCTCTGTATGAGCGGTCCTAGGCATTTCGCATCAGAAAAAATTTTTTCCTCAAACTTTGCCCACTAAACTATCTTTGGTAGTAGGTAAATAAAACCACATTGGTTTCTGGAAATACGTTATAAAATTTTTCGAGAGCTCTTAACAATCAAAGCTGTAAAAGGCCCTTTTTTGACATCTTGCGAAAATTTCAAAGGTTGACAAGCTCGCTCCTCGTAACACACTAGTTGCAGCACGAAAACGTTTGTATTCCTAAATTGTGTGATATATGAGGGATTTGGAAAGTATTTCAATCTTTATATGAGTGTATTTAGAGGTTTCGCCATAATTTATTTGAAAAAAACACCCGTTAGACATCTTTCTAAAGTGGTCAAGAGTACTCTTTCTTTCTTGGGTGATATTCCTCAAATCCAGAGCGGACCATTAAAAATTCCGGTTGATTTCTTCTATTTAGATGTTTGATAGCGACTTCAAACTTTTGGTAATTTTGCTTGCGTGACAGCAGAATTATGCAAATTAGTCTGTTAAGCAAACTCCGACCATTCATCATCAGTAGCTTCACAAATCTTAGATTTTAACTACTTCAAAAAGAAAATATAGTGGGACTGAGCTTTTAGAACACACTGGTTGATACTGTAAACATTTCAAACGGCTAAAATCTGGCAAATTATTCTGTCTCGTGACGAAAAAGGTATCGAATATCATAATGATGAATGAGCGTTCAGTCAACGTTTTATTGAGAAACTCTTTTGGAAAATTAGTTTCTGTTCTTTTATATTTGACTTAAGAGAGCTTAAGCTATTCAAATCTGTATGAAAATTTCAAACCATACAGCTGCCCTTTTCTCTGACGAATTGTAAACAAACGTCACGTGGTAAGCCGGCATCATCATGATTTAAAGAAGCGTGGGCTGAGTTGATATGACAGGCTTACAAATATAGGCGCTGGTGGGTGGTAACGTCGATTAGTGGTGATAGTTTTAGACTTGTCCCACCCAATTATTTGGTTGGTAAGGCATATGTGCTCCGACAAAGCTGAATTTTCTTTTCTACGAAAGAAGACCACTTTTTGATGCTCTTTCAAACGTGTACCAAACTGACGTTTGGTCTGTCTGATCTACTCGTGATCACAGTCATTGCCCTCAGGTTTGGGGCATATTTTCGTTAAACCTCAGAACCCTGTCACGGAAGAACAGTGAACCGACGCTATTTATTCTATTCCGTGACAGGCTTTCAAACAAAGGCGCTTGTGGTAACGTCGATTCTCCTGATAATTTTAGACTTGTCCAGCCCAATTGTAGGGTTGGTATGGCATATGTGCTCAGACAAAGCTGAATTTTCTTTTCTGCAAAAGAAGGCCACTTTTTGGTGCTCTTTCATACGTGTACCAAACTGACGTTTGGTCTGTCCGATGCACTCGTGATCACAGTCATTGCACGGAATAGAATAGATAGCGTCGGATCATTGTTCTTTCGTGACAGGACCCTCATGTTTGGGGCGCATTTTCGCTAAACCTAAGAACCCTGTCACGAAAGAACAACCAACGGACGCTATTTACTCTATTCCGTGCCAGGCCTCCAAACAAAGGCGCTGGTGGTAATGTCAATTAGTGGTAATAATTTTAGACTTATCCCACCCAATTGTATGATTGGTTGACAGGATCCTTATGTTTAAATAATTTCCATCGCCGCTGGCGACGACATCTCTCCTTTGAGGTGGTATATTTTCAAACGTCGTAATTTGTTTATTAAATACGTGAACAAGTATAAAGAAAGGCTTTACTGAAAATACTTAAATGAGCTATTTCATGGCTAATTTTGTAATATATCGAGACCATTACGCGATGACGATTTTACGATAGACCTTACGCAAGGAAAGAAGGTTTTTCGGTATTTTGATAACATAATTCGTGGTAATTCCGCGGAAAAGCCATTATCTCTCGCCAAAATCCCTCTTTGGACGTTCAAACAATCTTTCTCCATGCGTTCCTCTCCAGCGAGTTGCAATGTTTGCCCCGTGGCGATCCCAGAAATCTGTGCGCAAACGTAAGGATCCGATTACTGACAACTCCTTCATTAAGGAATACAAAAGTTTTCTTGCTGCATGTAGTGTGTTACGCAATATCGAACCTAGTGTCATTTTGGCTCCTTGTCAGCGGTATGGTCGCCAAATAACCTCTCGGAGACTCGATTAATTCAATTTTTTGATTGGTTTATAGGAAAACGATAGACTCTACATAGGAAGTGTGATTTACGGAAGGGATCGATCGGGCCGGAAGTGAAGCATTAACAGTGATAAATTTGAATTGTTTTTACTGTTGTTACTGTTGCTGTTGTTTTTTTTTGCGTGGAAGTTTTCATTTGTAAACTGCCTGTCGATGTGTGAGAAAACATCCAGCCAAAGCCGCTGCATGCTGCAATGGCGGGAAGCTGTTCTTCATGGAACGATGGATTGCTGTCGTTGATGTCAAAGACGTGTAATTAGAAATAAACCATCATAGTAATTTGTTTTAAGTGAAAAGCAGAAAGGAAAGAATTGTAGAGGTCTTGCGAGCGTACGGAAATGTACTAATGTAAAAGAGTTCGACATCAGAATAGCATGATAGTATTCAGTATCAAAGAAGAAATCGAGAAGGCTAAATATATAAGGAAATCGCGAAGAAAAGGGTCGCATTCTTAAAAAACAGAAATGAGGTCTGTCGCCCTCCAAAGCCCTTCTCAGGCCACAGTTTCACTATCTGCGTTACCGCTAGTAAACTACTCAAAAGATCCGTTATACCCACGACTCGGGTACAAGAAGACACTCCCGATGGAAACACGGAGGTAATCGTTTCATATTTATCTATGAATCTTGCGACACATTAAATCCTCTTTTTCAATCACCTATACTTTAACACTAATTTAACCAAGCAGTCAACAGGGACTGAAATACTTGAGATGGCTGGCCATAGAAATGCTGAGGTCCTTAAGTATGAAGGTTTTACATGATGCTACATTTACAGCTGGTTTGCATTATGATAAGCATTTTTTTTACAATTACAATATACATATCTGTCATTCAAAATTCCATGTCAATATGTTTGTGTATTTGTGTTCAATTAACTATGATCAGAAACATTCAACAGAGTTTAATACATTCAAAATGAAACTGTTTGCCAATATATGGAGAATTACATTCTGTTTATATTTAGTTGACAGAACATGCAAATATCGAGTTAAGAAAGGATGATGCGTATATATTTTGGGTTGCATCGCAGACAACCCCTCCAAAAGCAAAACTTATTATATTGTTGGAGGACTTCTCTGGAATCTAAACCAATCGCTTCTTAAGTTTGTCGTTATTCCTTTTTCATTTCCTCTAAGCCCAATTTTCTTTAAGTAGATAACACTGCTGCACTTATGGTTGCTCAAAGTCCATCTTCACTAACTATTACTAGCTTGCTATCGATTTACCACACGCGGGAACCTGGAAACAGCGTAAAAGCTACGTTAAAGGCCATTACTTACCCCTTTTTCTTTCACTTCCAAACCTCCAGGAGCATCAGATGGTGCTCTGGATAAAATCTGGGTATTTTCTTCTGGTTTATAAATTACATTTTCGATTAATTACGATGAGGCGTAAGTTCACGTACAGAAAATTAAGTTATGTTCTTTTCTTCTTCCGCCGGCGTAAAGAACCGTGTGCTCTGTTTTGAGCACGCGCAGAAGTCAACCGGAGGCAATAGCTTAACCATGTAGACATGCGCAGTTAAAACCGGAATCCCACGATTTCTGGGATAAAAATTCGATTCTCCCAGAGGTCATTATTTAATGAGCATAACGATGTCGCAAGAGGTCAAAAAGGGCTTTTACAGCTTTAATTATTGAGAACTGTCATAAAAATTTTTTTGACGTATTTCCAGAAACCAATGTGGCCTTATTTACTTACTACCCAAGATAGTTTATTGGGCAAAGTTTGTGGCAAAAATTTTTTCCGATGCGAAATGCCCAGGACCAGAGATCGCCAATTAACTTTTTCAAAAGCATATGTGGAAGATCAGGCTTAGCGTACATAATAATTTAACCATTCAAGCTACGATCAGTTCAACTGGATGAAGATTAAATTTAATACAGCAAATTAAGGTAAAACAACACAATTATTCAACACAAGAGGCAGTAGTGTTATAAGATCAAACGACTCAAAATTTAAGGATCTCACAGGGTTGTTCTCTATCGTTCCCTGAAATAAAATGATTAATATAACTTGTGAAAATATGCCGTTGTTTCAGAGAAAATAAAATTAATTGATTGCTGGTAAGGTCGGATCAGTCCTTGTACCTGCTCGTGCACATTAGCGCTGAAGAACAAAAGGGCCGATCCAAGACAGGCAGAACTACCCACAATGTCTGATCTGGGTTGTCTTTGTTTGAACACTTCTTTTTTTCGCCCTGATCTCTCCTCCACGAGACTGTAACGGTGGTTTGCTTAAAGGGGATCGGGGACTAGGTGGATATGCTGCCAGGCACCCCTCTCAGAATCAGTGATAGTCCTATGGAGCGTGATGACGAATAGCATGATCTTTGGTAATCGATAACGAAGCCTTTTAAAGACCTGACCCACCCAGTCGCATCGCGCCTTGAGGGGTTCGACAGCGGGTCACTGCTGCGTGAAACTGCATAAAGGTATCAGTGAAACGTTCAACATTCGAAGAATAATTTACGTAGCTTCATTATATTTCGCCATCAGTTAAGACGGTGAATAGTCCAGAATAGACATTTTTAAGTACTTTGACAACTAGGCGGTACCTATTGCTTGAAAAAAAAAACAGACAAACCAATAAACAAACCTCAAACGAATCGAGAAACAATTTCTCAAGCGTGCCGCGCAGAGGCGGTAACAAAGAAGCACATAGACATATAGACAGAACGACATGCGGACAGAGGGAAAGACAGACGTTTTGGTGCTGCTTCTTGTTTTGTTTTCTTTGTT